TAAAGCAGAGCACACAAAGAGAACAATCTTACCCTTAGCTGTACACAGGAATGTGCGAAGCTGTAAAAAATTGCGAGGACCAACACAAAACAAAAGAAGTAGAAAAAGTTGGATTTCAAGACTTGATATACGGCTTCAATAACTGGGGCAGAGTTTCATTGGTGAAAGTATATAGACATAGATCAGTAGAGCAAAACAGAGAGCCCAGAAATAGACATTCACAAATACTTTCATCTTTGACAAAGGAGCAAAGGAAATTCAATGGAGAAATGGTAAGCTTTTCAACAATGGGTGCTGGAAGAATTGAAGTCCATATGTTCCAATAATAAGCCTAAACAGACCTTACACTTTCATAAAACTTAAATGGGATCATAGAGATATACACAAACTGGGAGAAAATATTCATAAAACACATATCTGATAAGGGACTTGTATTCATGATACACAAGGAACAGTTTTTGGCTGTTCTGGGATTTGAACTGAGGGCCTCATGCTTGCTAGGCAGGCACTCTACCACTTGAGCTATGCCTTTATGCCTTCTTTTTTGCTTGAGATGTTTTTTGAATTTTGCATTTATGCCTGGGCTGGCCTGGACTTCAATCCTTTCAATTCCACTTCCCACGAAGTTGGAACAACAGATGTGTGCCGTGATGCCCAGCTTTTATGCTGGCTGAGATGAGATTGAACTATTTGGTTAGGCTGGCCTCAAACCGCAATTCTCCTAGTCTCTGCCTCCCAGGTAGTTAGGATTACAGGTTTGAACCACTGTGTCCAGCTATAAGGAACTCTTGAAACTCCACAATAACAAGGCAAAAATCAAATTTAAAAATGGAAAAAGGCCTAAATAGAGTTGCTTCACAAGAGAAGATATAGAAATAGAAGTTTTATCATGTGCTAATTAATATACATTAAAAACAAAAAATTTAAAAAAGAAATTTATCATGTGAAAAAGATACCATCATTTGTTATTAGGGGGTTACAAATTATAATACACCACTACATACCTGTTAAAATGACTAAAAATTAAAAAATTAAAATTTGAATTAAAAAAATCTGACATCAATTGCTGAAAAAGATGTGGGGCAACAAGAACTCTCATTGATTACTGGTGGGAATGTAAAATGATTCAGCCACTTGGAAGATAATGTAACAGTTTCTTACAAAACTGAACACATAGTCTTTTTATTGTATCATCCAGCAATTGAATTGCTACATACATATTAACTAATTTGAATACTTAAGTTGGTCCTTGAAAATTTATGTGCACACAAAAACCTACATGTAAATATTTATAGTAGCTTTATTCAAAATTTCCCAAACTGGAAGCAATCAAGACATTCTTCAATAGTTGAATGGATAAACAAACTTTGGTACATCTCTGTACATGTACATGGAAAATTACTCAATAATAAGAACATAAGTTATCAAGCCACAAAATGACATAGATGAATGACAAATGTATGCTTCTAAGTGAAAGAAGCTACTGTGAAAAGACTACATGTTATATGATTCAAATTATATGACATTCTGGAAAAGGCAAACCTATAGAAATAGTATAAGCACCAATGGTTTCCAGGGGCTCAGGACAAAGGATAAAAGGTTGAATAAGGAGTAGGTGATTATTTCAGACAGTGAAATTATTCTGCATTATAATATAATCATAGTAATATAATATGTATTTGTAAAAATCCATAGAAATTCATAGCACAAAGAGTTAACCTAATTTATGTACACTAAAAAATCATTTAGGAGATATGGAGAGTTCTAGGATAAAGTGCAGATTTAGTGATAATCTAGCTGTATTACAGATGTATGAAACAACTTCACTGAAGGGTATGAAGAGAAAAAAAGGGACTGACCTAAGTAACTTTGGAAATGAGTGAATTCTGAAAGACTAAAGGCTAAAGAAACTACATAAGTACACTGCACTGTAGTTGATAGAACTGTTTCTTGTGGGGGTTCAGCTTAGCAATTCTCATACTGCTATACATGTATACTGTATTTGAGCAAGTAAGTGAATGGATGGACAATGATAGGAGTCAAGTTTCTTACTTTTGGTATGAAAGCAAGAGAGAGTCTGGAATCATCTATGTGGTAATGGATTTGAGTTGGGAATATCAATGGAATCATCCATATGGTAATGAATTTGAGTTAGGACTATCAACATGACTTCTTGTTAGCTTTAGACAGATATGCATGGGTACATATAGAAATATTTATAGATATGTTTATGGACCTGAGTTAGCATACATATGTATGTTTCCTTGGTCCACCAGCAATGACACTCCAGTAGTATCAAAGATATCCAGTATGAAGATCTGGTTTCCAATATAATAATCCAACAAAGGAAACCATGGCTTGGGGAAGTCATGGATTCTAGGACTAGGGTAAGAAATATAAAAGATTACCATGAAACTACAAGAGTAAGAAGATATACAGGTCACACACACACACACTAATGAGGACATGGCAAAGGGACATATCTCCAACTGAAAGAACTTCCAATGGTCAAAGGATTGCCATTTGAACCACAAAAGGAATAGTATTTGATTGAAACACAAAGCATAAAACAAATACGTATGTGTCCATACTGAAAAAAAGTTATTGATTAAGTCAATAAATGGCATAGAAAAGGCAAATTTCCTGTGTTAAAGAATCCCAAATAATGCCGCTCTGAAGGAACAAAACATAACTCCCCATCACCTAAGTGCAAATTGAACACAATCCTTTCCTTCCAAAGAGTACAGGAGAGAAAGGAGGAAAAGGAATAAATTGATATTAGTAACCTGACATACATACTACCTCAGCTACATGATGAAGGTCAACATCAGTTGATAAGTCATGTTGATAATATGTGCCCTGGATTGGAAGTGATAAGAATGGCCCTTTGCTTCTGTGGCCTTCTTCCTAAAAGCACATAAACTCTGGCCAATCTTAAGGAAAACACCAGATTAACCCTAACCGAAGGACATGCTATAAAATATCTGACCCATCCTCTTCAAAAAAGTCAAGATCATCAAAAACATGGAAAATCAGAGAAGTTGCTACAGCTAAAAGGAGCCCAAGAAGACATGTTAACTAAATGTAATGGGGTATACTAGGTAAGATCCTGGCAAAGAAATATGGACAATGGGGAAAATCTGAGGAAATATGTATGAATAAACTATGGACTTTAGTTAATAATAATGTGTGGGGAGCAGAGTAAGAGAAGCCTATGAGGACATTAGCACAGTTGTACTCATTGTTCCATAGGCTGAGTTCAGCACAGCCCCAGCCACAGAATAAGGCTAGAGTAAGATGCAGAGCAGCTGCTTTTCCTAACAAATAATCTGTAGGCTGAGATTTGGCACACACAGCCCCACCTGCAGAAGAGAGCTAGAAGGCAAGATGCAGCTCATTTGCTTTTCCTAAGTTATTTACATTTAGATAAGCAGGAACAGGTTCCTCTTGTTACAATGTCACACCCCTCCCTGAGAACTGCTGCTCCACCTTGTTTACCACTGGATAAAAAAGACTCGCTGAAGGAGGACACGAAGCTTTTTGATGATGGGAGGCTTTTTGATGAAGGGAAGCTTCTGGATGGAAGAAGCTTTTTGAATGGGAATTTCTGGCTGAAGAGAAATTGCTGGAGGAAGATTGCTGAAGGGGGAAGATGAATTGAAGGGAGGATTGCTGAAGGGAAAAGAATTGCTGAAGGGAAAAGAATTGCTGTAGGAGAAGGGAATTGCTAAAGCTAAAGAAAGAACATTGGGACAGTGCAAGTCTGCACCAAGAACTTTATACATAGGCTTTAGAAAAGCTAAGGTAAAGAAAAGCTAAAGAGAACATGGGACAATGCAAGTCTGAGCACCCAGGCTTTAAGAAAGCTAAAGAGAAAACATGGGACAGAGTGAGTCTAAGGAAAGAGACTTTAAAGAACAGAAAAGAAGACTTTAGAAGTGAGGTTTTAAGGAATAGAAAGACTTTAGAAGCAAGGTTTTAAAGAACTGTAAAAGAGTAAGGCCTTAAAGAATAAAGATAGAAAAAAGAAGCAGAGTAAATGAAGAGAATAATAGAGAAAAGAAGCAATGAGGCAGTTGTGCATCCCAATACACCTGCCCCAACTTTCTGTCTGTCTGTCTATCCTTTGTTCTTTCTGCATCTCCTGTCACCCCTAGGTAGGCCCAGTTAGGTTTAGAGTGATAGGAGTGAGAGAAAGGTCATTTCAATAATGTATCAATACTGATTGATTAGTAACAAATGAATTATACTAATATAAAATATTAATAATAGAGGAAACTGGGTGTTGAGAATATGGAAGCTCTGTACTATCTTTGCAGTTCTTCTATAAACCTAACATTATTCTAAAATAAAACTTTCAAAAAACTTATAATGCCTAGGTACCACCCTAGAGATTCTGATTTAATTGGTCTGGGGTGTGGCTTGACTTTCAGGATTGTCAAAAGCTCCCAAGATGACTCTAGTTTGTAACCCACTACTCTATGGAGAGGGATGATTTCTACAAGCGAGCTGCTCTGTCTTCCTTCTACCTTCTTGTTTAATTATAACAAATGGTCTGACCTTGTCCCTGGTAAAATAGCAGTGTGACTTAATGATTTTGGTTGTTTGAATTCAGCAGTTCTTTAAATGCACAGCCAGTGAGATGGAACTTAGAGGGTGATATTTCCCATTAAATTAAAAATCTTGTCCAGAAGCTTAAAATATCATAAGGAGTTTAGGTAAATAGACAGTGAAGGGCAGATTATGCTAAATGTGTTGTCCATTTAAATCTGTACATGGTGGGAATGCCTTTCTTTTCCCTCTGCTGTGCTATTTCATCTGTACTTGGAGGTGTGACAGCCTCTAAATTTTAGGTGCAAAGGTTTGTCTTTAATCAGATAGTAGAATTATTCTTAGGGTTTGAGAGAGACAAATGGGATAAAAGCATTACCTGCTGGCAAATGCGGCTTAAAGGTTCAGGAACCATGGACTGAAGTGAGCTTTCCATTTGTTTCACGCAGGGAAACTGGCGGCTGAGGCTCCTGGGGATCGTGACTGGTTCTGGACATGACTGGCTGTGGCAGTAAGTGAGGAAAGGATCACACTGACCCCAGTGCTCAGATGAACTTGGGTGAAGAAAGGAGGCAGGCAAAGAAGCCCTGCTCCTTCATTGACAGTTCTGGCACTTGCTTTGCAAATGTTGAGACTACACTTAAATACTATGCTCTTTGCTTAAAACCCTAACAGGCTAGGAGATTGCTTCATGTACAGTAAGGATTGCAAAAAAATTTATTTTTCCTATTATTTTTCTTCCTTGAATTATCGTTAGTAGGAATTTCTGCATTTCATTAAAATCTGTAAGGGTATCCATCTGCCAGAAAACATTTGTTGATTGAGTCATACACTACACTAGGCCCTTAGGGGGATTGTTGGTCAAAGTGCAGTAAATGCATTATGAAAACATCATAATGGCAATTTTTTGGAGGCAGTACTGAGGTTTGAACTCAGGATGTCACACTTCCTAAGCAGGTGTTCTACTGTTCAGCCACAACTCTAGCCCCCAAAATGACATAATGAACCCTGTTAAAATGTATGCATAAAAGAAAATGTATCAAAACAAAAGAAAGACAAAAAATATTTGTGTCCTTTATTCACTCATCTAAGCAATATTGAACTGAGTCCATATTATACACCAGGCATCTGCTAGGTACCAGAGATTAAATAGTAATAATAAAAACTAGTAAGACTTGATTTCCTTTCTTAAATTCCCACAGTCCAAGACCTTGCTGCCTAGGCCAGTGGGTCTCAATGTCTTTAAAAATATTTAATTTATCATGACTGGAAAGAGTGGGAGATGTTAGGGCACCTAATGGGTAGAGACCAGGGATGCTATTAAATAGTCTATAATACACAATTCATCTCCCCACAATAAAGAATTAGCCAACCCTAAATGTCAATAGTGTGAAGGTTCAGAAAACCTGTCAGCGCCCTCTGGAGTTCTCTCCTTCAGCAGAGAACACATTCTCTATGTGTGAGTTAAACAAAGCAAGCTTTAAAAACACCGCCTCCTTCCCTCCCTTTACCTGGTGGGGTGGGAGCCTGGGAGAAGAGAGAAAAGGGAACTGTCTTGCCATTCAGGTGGGCTTTGTGGTAGCAGTGTTCAGGGGAAAGTCAGTGATTCTGTCATCAGAACCCAGCAGTTGGAACTGTGACAGCACAGGTCGCAACATGTCCAGTTAAATCAGGCTGCCCCAAAGGGAGAACTTGACCTTTTTCCTTTTAACTGGGCATGGCCAACTTCTACAGTCAAAACAGATATGTCCACAGGCTTCCAAATAGTATTGCTAAAAGTTGGTGAAACTCTTATAATTTAAACATGACATTTATATCTAAATTGAAATTAGTATAAAAACATATGTTTTTTTACTTATTTGTAACTGTTAACAACAAGCTTAAAAGAAAAACGTAACCTTGCAAGCATCCTTTTCAACATAACTGTTAGCCACATGTGGCTACATCAATTTAAATTAGTTGACATTAAATGAAATTTAAAATTCCTTCTTCTCATTAGTTACAGAGTGCTTACTAGCCACATGTAGCCGCTGGCAATAAACTGAACAGTGTGATGTCCACCATCAGAAAGTGTCTATTAGACAGCACTGCCTTACAAGGCACTGCTCCTAAGGATCCTCACCAAGAAGTACAGTTGTTGCTTAAAAAAAAAAAAAAAAAAAAAAAGGGCTGTTTCCTAGCAGCTGAGGCACTGGGGCAGTGCTTTGCATTCCCTCATTATCATTGTCAGTTAGAAAAGCACAGCCATGTTTCTCTTTTCTGACATGGAATTTTGTGAACAATTGATATAATATATATTGAGTAAAATGTCAGATGATTGAAACTATGATTTTCCAGAAAATGTAACAATGTAAAATTCAAGTAGATGAATCCTATAAGGCATTGCTGAGCTAAGCATATTTTGTTAAATAATAATTCTATTAACATATGTCAACAGGGAATTAAAATATGTGACCCAAATATATTTCTTTTTAGGAACTGAGTGGCACTCAGTGGATTTTAGCAAAGCATCAGAATCCTCTGGGGAGTTCTTGCAAACTGCACAGGTAACTGCCATGTAAGGCTTGTCAGAATGGTGGGGATGGGTGGGTGAATAGGTCAGGTCTCCCATTTTTTTAAAAAGATCCCCATCTTGTTCTAATGTACCCACCCAGGTAAGTAGAATTTAAAAAGTATGGGAAGGATAAATACTGCGTCTCTTTTGTCATTATATGAATAATGCAATGTGGCTTTTAATGACCCCAGTCTCCAAAAATTTTGATTCAGTGAATCTTGGGAAGGGCCTAGATGTCCCTCATTTTTCTTTTAACTGATCCACTAGTTGTTCTCATCTATCTCTCCCGCCAGACATTTAGGGTGATCTTTAGCTGGGCTTAGAACAATGGCCTTAGGCAGGTTTTCCCACTCTCAGCTGTCTCCACCTAACTTTTGTAGGCTGCAGATCACAACCTGTCCTTGGGTGCATTTTCTGATCAGAACCTGAAGTGACAATACTGTGTGCTGCTGATCAAAGGAAGTGTCACATGCACAGAGGATGCATTGGCTGGAGAAGACACTGAGTGGAGGAAATTCCACTTTGTATTTTGCTCAGGCTGAAAGGTACCCCACTTCCACAGAGAGGTGGACCACGAGTGTGTGGGTAGGGCTAAAGATGTTCTCTAGAAGTACCTTTTCAACTCCTCAGATACCTCATCAGGGTGAGAACCCAGAGTTTGCATGAAACTTTTTCTTCTTAGTTAAGTTAAAAGGCTACTACTAACCATAAAAAAGCCTAACAGTTCATATGGGAGTGACAATGAGCTCTACTGGTGGAGAGAAAATTTTTAACACCCTTCACCCATGCCCATTTTGGCTTCATGCTTGCTGGGTAAGCACTCTACTACTTGAGTAATGCTTCTAGTCCCTTTCCCTCTTTTCTCTGGTTATTTTGGAGATAGAGTCTTACTTTTTGCCCAGGCTGGCCTGAACTGCTCTTCTCCTATTTTATGCTTACTGCCTTAGCTGGGATAAAAAGCATATGCTACCATACCCAGCTTTTTCGTTGAGACAGTCCTGTGAACTTTTTGCCTGGTTGACCTTGACCTGCAATCCTCCCAATCTAGGATCCCATGTATCTAAGACTATCAGTGTGAACCATCACCACCACCTGATTCATTTTGGGGAGCAGAATCTTTCAGTTTTATTGTTCTCACATATCTCCTTGGGGGGTACAACTCAATGGTCTAGCTGCCAGAATTGTCTCTTACTTGCCTCCACCACTTCCCAGCACCAGTTGTACCAGTGGGTGTGCTGGCCGCATGGTGGGCCTGGACTTGTGATGTGACTGGGTCCCTGGAAGCACCTGGCTTTTTTGGTCATCATTCGCTCAGGATCATGTGATCCTGGGGGCCTCTGCATATATTTTGGTATCATCAAAAAAAAGACAGCCCTCCTGTGATTGACAAGTGGACTGGCAGGTCATAGCCAAAGCAGGGTCTTCCTGTGTGGCATTGTCTCCCAGAGGAAGCAAGTCTGAAACCTGTTCATGCTCCTACCTGGTCCTTTGTTCAAGAGATCCTCACCTACTTGTCAGAATCAGCAGCAATCCTAACCATTGTTCTTCTTAGCTTAGTGCTCTAGCATCATAACCCAGATGGCCCTGACCTATGAGTTTGCCTCTAAGCCCTCAGGATTTGAACATTGCAAGAGTGCTTTGAACTATCTGAGGCTCATAGGTGGGATGCCCCTGTCCCCATGGACATCAGGCTGTGGGAGAGTCACTGTGTGAACTCCTGGGTTCAACTGGCCGTGGTTAGACAGGGCCACTTCCTCTGATGACACCTTTCCACATATCTCCTTCTCTAGTGGTTCCAGTTTGTGGAAGTCCCAGGCAGTCAGTTCTGAGTCCATGTGAACAAGTCCTACCATGTGGCCAGTGTCATTGGCTCCTTTTTTATAGAGTGAACTCAGAATCCCAGCATCGTTTGAGCTCCACGCCCCTGCCTACTTAATTCCTGGAATTTCACATCACATTTTCAAAACATAGTAGCCCTGATTGAGCCATGTTTGCTTTTTACTTTCATTTTTTCAAATTGATTTAGAGTAGCCTCACCACATTCTATATTTTCCTCATCCCTGGTTGTAAGTTTTCTCCTGGTAGAAACCCAGTGTTCCCTATGGTATATAAAATGTTTATGACTTGGGTTTTAAAAGGATGAGGTAGGGTTTTTATCATTAGAAAGTATCCAGAAATATAAATTTCTTTTGGTGGCATGATATACAACATGATAGGAAAAAATATCCCACCACCCCCAGAAAATGTCTAACCCCTGCTTCTTCCTCCTTTTAAGGATATCAGAACCTGTTGGTTGCTGGTGGAAAAAAGGCATAAACTGTGAGAAGCCTGGAGGAGACAGTCAATCAATAGGTCAGGTTCTAGCTCTAAAAATTCTTAGTGTTTCTCCTCTGAGTCTTTCTGTGTCTGGGATATCAGAGTGTGAAGTGTGCTAAGATTCTGGGAGCCAGCAGAGTTTGTGTTCTCTAGATATCCAACTAGAGGGGGAGAAGGCCTTAAAACCATGAAGACTTTAGGCTTTAAAAAATTCACTTATATCATGAGAGAAGTGATGAAAGAACTCTCAAGTGGCCTGCTAAAGATTGCATTATTCATTCATAGATATATATTATGTATCTGTTATTTGCCAGTCACATGGTACAATGATAAAATATATATAGCCTTGGTTCCAGTTTCTGGCACAGAGCTTCAAAATGTTTGGAATTTTCTGTGTGAGAGAAGTGTCTTCTGTATACTAATGAGACAGTTAAAGGGAGGTCAGGCTTATATACCTTTAGGATGGGGTTGGTCATCAGAAGAATCAACTCTCTGATTAAGAGTTAAAGCTCTGAACTCTGCACACCACCCCCACCTCTGGGATGGATAGGGGCTGGAGATTGAATTCAGTCAGCATTAGCCAATGATTTATAAATCATGTCTACAAAATGAAATTTCTGTAAGGCCTCTGAATCAATGAGTCTAAGAGAGCTTCCTGGTTGGCGAATACATTAACATTCTGGGAGGATAGCATTCCCAGACAGTGCATGGTAGCTCTGTGTCTCCCCTGCCCCATACTTTGCCTTATAGGGCTCTCATCTGACTATTCCTGGGTTGTATAACTTATAATAAAACTATAATTTCAAATAGGCAGCTTTTCTGAGCTCTTTAAATCATTCTAACAAATTATCAAACCTGTGGGGGTGATTGGAACTCCCAAATTTATGATAGGTTGAGCAGAAGTACAGTAGCCAGGGACTTTATTTGCAACTGATGTCTAAAGTGGAACTTTAGGAATGGTTCCCTCAACTTGTGTGGTCTCAGTAACTGAGTAGTTAGTGTCCAGTTGGAACTGAATTGTTGACACCTTGTTGATGTTTCTGAATCAGAGAATTAGTGTATTGGAATGATGTATCTGGGAATAGAATGATGGACAAAAGCAAGCAAGTTTCTGCTCTCAGACTTTACTGATAACTCAATATGTGGGGTTTGGGGGTTGTTTAGCACTCATGTACCATCCAGCCACTCTTCTAGATGTATGGTTTTCAAGGACTTCCCCTATAGACACCAATGGGCACCATGCTTTCTGCCTCCGGTTGGATGTGAGAAATAGGGCGCCCTGAAAGGAAATTGAAGAAAAGGAAGTGAGACAGGGTATTAATTCCCCTTCCTCCTTTCTTGTGAGACCACTTTGGCTATGTCTCCTTTCAAGGCAGTCTTTTCAAAATGGCTTTCTTCTTTTACATTTCAACAATTCCTCCTCTTCCTCGGTTCCTATTGCAAAGGTGTGTTAGAATTCTTTCAGGGTTAAAACTCTTATGTTTCCACTATATCCTATGTATACATTTGTTAAAAAAAAAACCTTCCTTAGTAAATAAATCCTCGTTGAATTATTCTATAAGAATGTTGCCTTTTATCAGGGACCCTAATACAAGCACTGCATATGAATTGCTGGATTTAGGCTTGCCAAGTATGTTGATTTTTGTTTTAGTGTAGTTGATACTAAGCCAGCTGTTCAGCTGCTTAAGAAGGTCACCCTGGCCTGCAATGATAAAATCATAGAGTAGAATGTACATCTTCTTATTTCCTTTGGCAAAGACCAGTACACCTTTGATGGGGTGCAAAAGGAGAGTTAGAACACTCGTTCTGTTTTATAGCATTTAAAATTGCACTTTGGGTTGCCAAGATGCATCTCTTACCCATTATGATTCTGGCATTAATTCTATATTCCAGGCTTTGAAGATGCATTAATAGTCTGAGTTTATACCAAGAGGTTGATGAATGTTGCAAAAATCATTGTTCATAACTATTTTATTGGTGAGATGCGACATGATAGCAACACTTAGCAGTTTGATAGTTAGCTGTTCCTGAAACATGTTCCTTTTCATGATAAACATTTTAGTGAGAGCCTAGAAATTGGATATGAAGAGAGAAAAAAAGTATGCTTTTATTATTTACTTTACAGAGGTTCTGCCATGGAGAGCTATGTCATGAAATTTGTATTTCTTATTGATATTTTCATCTGAGCCATACCCTAGCACTTCTAGGGGAATCTATTATAAGCCAACTTTTCTGAATGATAAATTTCTTGTGAAAAACTATGAGCTTCTAAGTTTGTAGCTTTTTGTGAGAGTTACTCTGAGCCTCCTTTTCTCCTTCTTTTGCTTTCTAAGGCCATCACTGACATATAAATTAGGATGGCCAGAGAGGATAATCAAAGCTGGTTTCAACCTGTCTTTAATCCATTGATCTGCAGATAAGAGGAAAAGCTTTTCTCTGAAGACCTCAGGAGAATTGGCTAGAGGCTACCTTCATCCTTGATCATTAACCTGCAGAGATTAAAATAATTTCAAAGGCCATCTATTCTCTACTACTGTAGATGAAGAAACTTAGGTTCTGAGGTACTAAAAGACTTGCCCAGGAAGACAGTCAGATTAGTCAGGATTGACACAAGAAAATACTACAAACTGTGTGGCTTTAACAAAAGCAATTTACCATCTCACAGTTTGGGAGGCTGAAAGTCCAACTTCAAAACTGTTAGCAGGTTGGGTTTCTACTGAGGGTTTCAATGGAAGGATTTGTTCCGGTCTCTTTGGCTAGTTGATGGCTGACCTCTCTGGGTGCTTGTTCACACCATCTTTCATCCACACATGTTGTTTCTAAATTCCATCTCCTTGTAAGTACACCAGTGATTTTTAGATTTGGGGCCTACCATACTGACCTCATTTTCATTTTGTTACCCCTGTGAAGACCCTATCTCCAAATAAGGAGACAGTCTGAGCTTCTGGGTGTTAGGACTTCAGCATAGGAACTTTTCAGGAGACACAATTCAACCAGAACATCAGCCGTCTAAAGACTGAGTAGAACCTTGGTCCTCTGACATCCTTGTGTTTTTTTTTCCCTATTAGACTATTTTTAATATTCTTATTCCCCATCACTGTAGGAAAGACATTCCTTTGTACACTCCATAGCATATAACAGTGTGATTAAAACCTGGAATTTTTTCAGACACTTCAAAGGATTCAATTAGAGAAATATAAGGCCAGACTAAATTAAGGGAATTAATGAG